TGGGCTAACAGGTAACACCATGATAAATGAAGAAAGGATTGAAGTTGTCAAGGATTTTGTCTGGCTTGGATCCACAATCAATGCTCATGGAAGCAGCAGCCAAGAGATCAAAAGACATGTTGCTTTAGGTAAATCAGCTGCACAAGACCTCTTTGGAGTATTAAAAAGCAGGGATGTTGCTTTGAGGACTAAGGTGTGCCTGACCCAAGCCATGGTATTCTCCATTGCCTCATATGCAGGTAAAAGTTGGACATGGAATAAGAAAGAGCGAAGAAGAATCCATGCACCTGAACTGTGGTGCTGGTGAATAGTATTCAAAGTATCATAGACTGCCAAAGGACAAACACATTTGTCTTGGAAGAGTGCCCCTTAGAGGCAAGGACGGCAAGATTTTATCTCATGTACGAGTTCTTTGGACACATTATCAGGAGAGCCCAGTCCCTGAAGAGGGATCTCATGCTTGATACAGTAGAGGAGCGGTGAACAAGAAGAAGGCAATATGTTGACACAGTGCTTGCAACAATGGGCTCAAGCAAAGGAACCAGTGTGGAGATGGCACAGGCCTGGGCAAGGTTTCCTTCTGTGTGCATGAGGTTGCTATGAGTGGGAGATGACTCAAAGCACCCAGTAGGGCTAAGTAGAAGAGCCCTCACATTCCCAGTGGACTCCCTCCCTCCGACCTATGAGCCAAAAGTCTTCACCTTAGCCCTTTGGTGCTCTTGACTCTACCCCCATGACTCCGGCCACCTTGATAAGGGTTAGGAAACAATGTGGTTGCATGGCAGTCTGCAAGAAGTCTCAGAAACCAGGCCCTTACCTTCAGTTGATAGAAGGTGAGTCGGCCCAGGCGATAATACACCTTGGCATAGTATAGGGCTTCCTTGTGACTCTGCAGCCAGGGTGGACAGAGGGACAGGGTCTTCAGGTAGCAGTCCTCAGCCATCTCATACATATGCAGGGTGTAATACACTGTGGCCAGGCGGTGAAAGGCTACCAGCTCCTGCCTCTGATCTCCTAAGAGAAGAAAGACTGAGAGAGAGGTTCTATAGCCGACACTTGGCATCACTCATTCTGTAAAGTTTCTGAAGTTCTGCTGGGTATCAGAGAGGTGCTTAGAACTAGGAATATGAGACAAAAAGAGGCTTCTGTCCTCAGGAAAGTTTAATGTCTCATATAACACACATATTCTTTAAACAAGGCATGGGGAATGTGTGGCCCGTGGGCCATATAAAGCCCTCAAAATCATGAACACCAGCTAACATCACCCTCTTCACCAAAGAGAAGCCATTCCAGCCATTGCATTCAGGTGAGTTAATAAAATGTTTGACCAAATATAACAGGCTACATTTAAATTGATAATTTTGTATGATCCTCGACTGATGTTATACATATTCAAATGACCCTTGACAGGAAAAAAAAGATTCCCACTCCTGCATTAAGTAATAGAAACTAATATAAAACTATATCTACACCAACTGCTACAAAAGAAAAGGCAAGGCTGTGAGAGTGACTAATGTGGTGTGTATTCCTATCGATCAACATTGTCTCAGACTGTGCTCTACAGATCCAGGATCCTAGGAAGTAGCAGCTCTTTCCCACACCCTGTGAGGGGGCATGAGGACAAGACCATCTACCTCGAGGAACTAAGAACCCTTAGAAGGAACAATTCTATGTGACAAATGTCTTCTCCACATCAAGTCATGCTCTGGAGCAAAGATGCCAATCGCAGGTCACGTTCTCTGTCCTGGTAACATTGTGGGTTAGGCTACTGATCACAACATCAATGGTTCAAAGCCACCGCCCATTCCAACAGAGATAGATGAGGCTGTCTGCTCTGGTAAAGATTTACAGTCTCAGAAACCCGATCTGAGGTCACTAGGAGTCAGAGTCAACTTGGTAGCCATAGACTAGCATCACCAGCTTCCTGGGTATTCTCTGACCTTGAAGGCTCTCAGGTGCTAGTTGAAAGCTTCAGGGCTTGAACGTACCACCCAGCTCCATGTCTAGCAATCTAATTCTAAAAAGGCAACCGTGGCAAATCCTGTGGGAAAATGCTGTGATGCAAATGGAGTTGGCAGAGGGCGGAGTCAACCCAACAACTGCTGCTCTTTGTTTTGTGCTGTTTTGTTCTCTTGCTGCTTTCTTGTCTCTGGCTTCTATCCTGCTCCCAGTCTTAGGTGAGTTGCAGAGAAATCACCCTACTCACCTTTACGCCCTGCTTTAGAACATTAATTTCCAATGGGTCTATGGCTTAACCTTGGTTTGGGTGGCTGTGTTGTTTTAACAACTAACTAAACCCTATTAATACAAAATGATCTCACAAGGGAAATAGCAGCTTCCAGCCTTGCCCTTGGCACATGGGCATGGTGGCTGTTGGATGCCACCTGAGATGTCATGTTTCAGCTGCCTACAATCCATACATTGACCATCCATTGTGTCAAGTGCATTTGTACATATATTGCCATTATCATTTTCAAAACATTTTCTTTCTACTTGAGCCCTTGATATCAGATCCTCATGTTTCCCCTGCCCTCGCTCATGAACCCTTGATAAGTTATAGATTATTCTTTTCATATCTTACATCATCCTCTGTCACACTTCACCCATTTTTCTGTTGTTCGTCTCCCCCCACCCCCCGCCCCCCCCAGGGTGTGTGTGTGTGTGTGTGTGTGTGTGTGT